TGGGGTGGGGTGGGGGGAGTGCGGATGAGTGGGCATCTGGGCCTTGGGCTGCTCGTCTGCTGGGGCCACAGCTGGCAAGTGAGCCCCTGTTGGAGTGGCAGGGCACCCATTAAAGCAGGCTCCTCATTCGGAAAAGGCTGTGGGGAGGAGAAGGAGTAGCGGGCCCACGGGCAGGGGGAGCGGTGAGTACCCTTGGCCCTCATGGGCACTGCTGACACCCCAAAGAAAAGTGGATTTTAGCCCTCATGGCACCTGCCGAAAGAAATCCTGGCCTTGGCTCTTCTTTCCCTGATGGGTGCAAGGCTGGTGTACGTGGTTCTGTTCCTCTCTCCGTTGTGGGGCAGAAGCAGCACTCCGAGGGTCTGAAGGGGGCCGTAGCTTTTCATTCCCCCCGCCGCTGCCCAGTTGCCTGGTCTTGGGAAATGCTGGAACCGCAGCAGTCTGACGGCCTTCTGGGACAGCTTCTTTAAGCACCTTGAGACCATACAGGGCCCCCCTCACTGTCCTTGCTTGCTGTTGGAAAGGGCGGGGTGGTCCTGCGTTGGAGGCCCTCTGAATCGGCAGCAGGCGGGCGGGCGGCAGGGTTGTTGCTTCTCTGAATGGGTTTGCTGGGCTCTGGGGGAAGGGGGAGGGGACAGAGCCTGCTCCCTCCCCCACTTTGTTTCCTGTCTCCTTTTTGCTGTAGCCGGGCACCCAAGCTGGCACTCCTTCTCAGGAGCTGAGTTGGGGACAGGAGGAACAGGTGGCCTCACGGAGACCCTGGTGTCTCCTGGAGCTTCGGCCCACCTGCCACTCTGCCCGAGAGCCCCCGGCTGACTCTGAAGCAGCTTGGCGGGGGCTCTCTTCCTCTCCCTGTCCCTTGGCCAGGCCTATTCTTGTCTGCAAACCTCATCAAATTCCTGGATATTTAGACATTCACTTTATTGCTTAATCGAGCTTGAAACAGCTGAAATGAATACAAGTGTTTGTAGTCACGAGGGCAGAGTTTTATGGCCCAGGAGTGAGCCTGCCGCACCACACTGTCACAGCCTCCGAGGAGGCACATCTACTCTGCAGTCCCAGCGCCCTCTCGCCTTTCCTCCCAGAGCCCTTGTGCTAAGCGTGGAGGTGGGACTCAGCAGAAACTTCTCCCCTGGCCAGCTGGGTTGCCTTCAGAAGGGCTCTCTTCAAATGGGGCTTCTGCTGGTGCCTGCCTTGCCTGCTTGCCCGTTCGTCAGCTGTGAAGGGAGTCTTGCGGATTTGGGGGCACAGCTGCCCCAGGGTCATCCAGGGTGCCTCCTCCAAGCAGGGATCAGCCAGACCCCAAACCCAGAAGCAGCTGTCCGGGGAACTGGAGGCAGATTGGAAGGCTGGCAGTCAACATGCAGTGAGGGCATGGGTACCCTTGGAGAGGCTGCTGCAGAGATGCCCCATGGGCTCAGCCAAGTGCCTGGGCCCCCCGTTGCCCTGGGCCCCCCCCCCCCCAGCTGCCTTTGCCCACTGCTCACCATTGATTTCCATCTGAGTGCCCTGAGCAAAGTCACCCTCTGCTGGAGTGTCACCATCAGAGGACGCCCAGGCCTGACACTGGCCCAAAAGTGGTGCGGGGGGAGGAGCAGCAGCTGTTTTCTCAGCATCCCTCTCCCCCTCCACACCCAGGTGGACACTGGCATGCTGCTGGGGGCCTGGGCTGGGTGGGTGGGCTGGACTTAGGAAGCCCTCCCTCCCAGATGACCCGTGAACCCTCCACCCAGAATAGGGCATCTGGCCCCCAGCAATCTCTGCAGGGCCAGAGGCATGGCCGGGGGGTGTTGCCCCCTTGGAGTGTGTCCCCCCCCACATCCTGGTCACTTTGTCCTTGCTGCAGGTGGACGTGGAGGTGGAGAGCATGGACAAAGCTGGGAACTTCATTGGGTGGCTGCACATCGACGGGGTCAACCTCTCGGTGGCGCTGGTGGAGCAGGGCCTCTCCAAAGTGCACTCCACGGCGGAGCGGAGCAACTACTGCAGGCCTAGGAGGGTTGCCGGGGCTGCCGCCAAGCAGAAAAAGGAAAAGGTCCCCGCCGGGCCCCGGGGGGGGCTCTGGGGGGACCTTCCAGCCCCTGCTGCTGCTCAGACCGGGGTTAGGGTAGTGGGGGTGCTTGGCTTGGCACTGCCATTGCACGGCAAGCGGGACAGCATGAATCCAACCTCCCAGGTGCCCCCCCAAGCTCTACTGCCACACAGGGAATTGCCCTGTGTCCTCAGAAGCGTAGAGGCAGCGGTGGTGGCACCGCCTTTGCCCGCCAAGCAGGGCTTAGGAGCTGGAGGTCACTGACCTAGATCCTCTGGCCACTGGGGCAGCCTGCCAGGGAACACACAAGGAAGGGTCCCAAGCAGCAGACCTACAAACGCCTTGATTTTTGCTGTGGCTGCAGCCACCCTCCGCCCCGGAGAAGGGGCTGTCAGCTCATCAGAATCCTCATCGGAAGCATCGGATCGGCTTCCTGGCCCCCTGCGTGGAGCTTGTCTTCCTGGCTTCTGACCTGGACCATCTGCCCCATGGTGCTCGGTTCTTCTGGACACGCCCTCCGCCATCCCTTCCTCCCGCGTGTGCCGCTGCCCCTGGCAGGCTCCTCTGTCCTTCCGTGGCATCTCCTCTTCCAACTGGCACATAGGACAGGCCAGAGGAGGCTTGGATAGGGCTGGGGTCTTCCTCAGAAAACGTTACGGCCGGATGGTTGCCTTTCTTTCCCCCCCACCTTTGGGGGAGATTCTGCCCTTTTCAAGATGAGCCCTCTGAGATCTTGAAGGTCGCCGAGGGAAGAAACAGGGAAAGGAAGCAGGAGGGCCAAGCCAGGGTCCTTCCGTGGTTGCTCATGAGAACGTGGAGACCGAGGGAGCTGCTTGCACCACCTGCCGGTGGTGAGCCTTGTTGTTTCCCTCCTGGAAGAAGGGAAGGTCCACACGTGCTTCAGACACGGGCAGATTTCCTCCTGGGAGGAAAGGTGGAGGGGCTGGACCAAAGTCCCCAGGTCACCAGGCCAGGTGGAGGATTCTCAAATTAGACGGAGGGAGGGGCAACAGGACAAAGAGCCCACAGAAGAAAAGGCAGGCAGGCAGGAGAGATGAGAGATGGAGAGTCGGTCTGTTTGTTTATGGGATTTATCTACTGCCTGCAAGCTAGGCAGCTTATAGTATTAACCAAATCAAACAATGCAAGTCAGTATTAAAACCAATTGAATAATAAAATCCATAATTTCATTTCCATTTGAATGCTGAGGAATGGCTAAAATTAAAGTAGTAATTGATAGGGCACCGCTGGTTATCATTCACCCCAAAAGAGCCGCGTTTGGGGCCATCCTTGTTTCACGGGACAAGCCATTCCAATGGGGAGGAGCTGCGACAAAGATCCCCCTCATCCAGCCCCCTCCTACCATACCTCCCAGTAGGAGGGGACCCCTCGCAGTTTCTCTCTGGGAGGCCAGGTAGGAGCTGTCAGAGGACCCCGAACAGATTTCAGAGCCCAACTGTTGAGGCTTGGATGAAGAGCGCTGCCCCAAGCCCCAGGGGCTGAGAACGATGGCTCCCCAGTGGGGCAAAGGGAACGGTTCCTACTTCGGTCCTGAAGAGGAGGAAGAGATGGCTGGTGGCAGTCAGAGATCCCTTCCGAGAAGCAGCAATTGGGGGGGCCGAAGAGGAGAGGAGGAAGTTATCTATCGCCTGGGCAGCCTGTCGAGAGATGGTGAAAGGGGTGGCCTTACAAATCTTTCAGACCAGCAGACAAGTAAGGTGGAGAAACTCCACAGCAGAAAGAATGTCCTTGCTGCTGATCCACCTGGGAACGGGTGACAGAGCCAGACGCAGCCCCGCCGAAGGCAGCACAAGAAACTGTAAGGTGCTGGACAGGAGGGTGAGTGAACCAGGGACACAAGGGGCATTGTCTTCCTTCCTTCCTGTTGAAGGATGTGGCCCAGGAAGAAAGAGAATATTGGAAGAGAACATCTGGCTACACAGATGGTGCCATTGGGAATGGTTTGTATTCTTTGCTAATGGAATGGGTTACCAAGAAAGGGGATTCTTGGCAAGAGATGGGTTGAGCCTTAAAAGAAGTGGGAGGGATGTCTTTAGAAGGCTCCTTACACATGTGCTGCAGAGGGCCTTAACTAAATCCTGTAGGGATTAGAAGAACACCCGGGAAATAATGCAACACCAGATGCTATGAATGGGACTGGGAGGAGTACCCGGGTCATAAAGTCATCCAATCACAAGCACCCAATACAGGAAGGAATGGGTGCAGTTTTGTGACCCAGGGATTCCAGTATCTCTGTCCAAAAGATGAGAGCACAGGGAACAAAGATGAAGAACCAGAAGCCTGAATTCAGGAAGGGGAAGGTGATTTTGTAGGTATTACAGAAACCTGGTGGGATAGGAAATGGAAGATGGATGCTATCACCAAGAAAGTGCTCTAGCAAGTGGCTAAGATCTACAGAAGGAACATGAGCAAGGCTAACGGATGAAAGGAAAGTAGACTGTCAGGGGAATGGAAAGCAACAGGAAGGGCTTGGGGGAAGTAAGAGGAAGGTGTGGACCAGCTGCTTGGAGAAAATGGCAAGATGGTAACAAGTGATCAAGGAGGGCAGAGCTCTTCCGTGCCTCCTTTGCTTCATCTTCTCCCCAGAGCAGAACAACTCTCAAAAGGAGAGAGATAGTTGGAGAACACCTGGGTACCATGAATACACTTGAGTGTACTGGACCAGAGCAATTAGATCGGCGAGTCTTGAAGGGGCTGCTGGAGGTCTTCTTGGAGCCCCTTTCTGAAAAAGTACTGCCTGAAGACTGAAGAAGGGCAAATGTTGGCTATCCTCAGAAAAGGGGGGGGGGGAGGACCTGGGAGCTACAGATCATTCACTTTGATGCCAAAAACAGGCCAAACTCTGGAAGAGGTTATTAAGCAATCAGTTTCTGAGCATTATTCATTGCTTGACAGAAGTCAGCATGAGTTTATCAAAGAGCAGGTGGCCGCTGTGGTCTGGAAGGCTTTGTGCAGGTTCACCTTGTGTGCCAGTTGTGCCCATTCCTGGACTGGGAGGGTCTTCAGACCGTCACTTGTGGCTTGCTCACCTCTCAGTTATTGTCATGTGCTGTACATGGGGCTGCCCTTGAAGACTGCTGGGAAGCTAAGCTGCTCCAGAATGCAGCTGCACAGGCAGTGATGGGTGTTTAGCGGTGTGTGCATGTCACCCCACTGCTTTGCAAGTGGCACTGGTTGCTGTTTGACTTCCAGGTGCAATTCAAGATTCTGGTTATTCCCTCTAGTACCCTGTGTGGCTTAGGGCCTGGCCACCTGAGGGACCACCTGTCTTCATCTCTTTTGGCCCATCCGGTGAGGTCAGTGAGAGTGGGCACACTCCAGGTCCCATCAATTAAGCAGTGTCACCTAGGAAGCATGTCTTCTCAGTGATGGCTCCTGCCCTGTGGAATGATATCCTCCCGTGAGGTTCTGGCCTCTCGTAAACTGCTTAAGACCTGATTGTCTCCCAGGCAGTTCTAGACTGTATCGCACAGGAAGACACCCAACAGCTGAATAAGTCACTGATCCTCTCTATTCTGGGTGGGTCAGCCCCACTCCCTAGAATATTATGTCCCTGCCTTTTAGGAAGGACATTGGCAAGCTGGAATATGTTTAGAAGAGAGCGGGCAAAATGATCAAGGGCCCAGAAGGAAACCTCAGGAAAAAGAGTTGCGGGGAATTTCAGCTTAGAGAAGGGAAGAGCGTGGGGGACATCATAGCCACCTCCGAGTATCTGGAGGGCCGCCATGTGGAATGACCGAGGAAGCATGAATTCCAGCGATGGAGCTGCGTGCCAGGCGGGCGTGGTCTGCCAGGAGGGGACCATCCTAGGCAGCAGGACATGGGAAATGGATCCGGGAGTCCCAGGCTGAAAATGGGGCGGCCCCCAAAGAAGCCAACCCGGCCCTTGGCTGCGTCGCCGAAGGAGCGTGCCAAGATGAAGAGGAGCCGCTGTTGCCCTGTCCCCTGCGCTGGTCAGAGCACACCCAGAATATGGCGTCCAGGAAGGACCATGGCACGCTGGAGGGCATCCAGAGGCAGCAGCCCTGAGGACACGGGACCTGGAAGGAACCGCTTACAAGGAGTGGCTGGAGGCGCTGGGCATGTTTAGCACGGAGCAGAGAAGAATGTGGGGAGACGTGATCACCATCTTCGAGTATCTGAAGGGCCTCCAGGTAGAAGACGAGGCAGACTTGTTCAGAGCTGTTCCAGAAAACAGGAGAAGAAATGATGGGCTGAAATTACAAAGAAGGTGGCTTTGGTTGGACACTGGTCAAAATTTCCAAAGGGTAAGAGCAACTGAATGGACTCTCTCAGGATGCGCTGGACTGTCCTGTGCTGGAGGCCACCCATCAGTCGTTGAGAGTTGTTGGCAATGGGCAACAAATGTAATAAATAATCAGTGCTCGAATGGGGGGGCAGGAAGTTTGGGGTGGGTGGACCTCGGTCTTCCAGCACTTGCACTGTATGAGTCTAGAAGGCGCTTTCTCCCTGAGGTTCACACCTCCCTTCTGCTCCTTTGGGAGCAGGAATGCTGGCTCTGAAGGGGGAAAAGGGCCCCCGTTGGCTGAAGAGGGAACACTCACTTAGGCCCCCATTTATCCATTGCTTAACTTCTTCTAGGGCTCAACATGGCTGTGTGACCGCAACCGGCCCCAAGTGGGGGCTGTGTCCTTGAACAATCCTCTGGCAGTGGTTTTGTCCCTCAGGGGTCTGCTGGTGCTGCCACGTCTAAGAAGTGTGGCTTCTCTGTCTGGGGGAGGCTGCCTTCTGTGCCCGTTTCCTTCCCCCACGGCTTTGTGCCACAGGAGTACTGCCGCTTGGGGGTCCAGCAGGGCGTCTGCAAAGCCTGGGGGCCTTTGCTGTGCTGCTCCCATGCAGAAGACCCTGCTCTGCAGCCTGGGCTAGCACGGGGGACGGCGGGCAGTGCTGCCTTGGTCTCCTCCAGGGCAGTGCTGCTTATCGCCCCACCGACCCCCCTGCACCTTTCCCCACAGGTGTGGTCACAGTACGAAGAGCCCCCCGTGGAAGATGTGGTGACCACAGCAGAGGAGAAGGAGCGCACAGCCAACTACAAGCCCGTCTTTGTTACAGAGGTCACAGACGACCTCCACTTCTATGTGCAGGATGTGGAGACGGGTAAGGGGTAGGCTGGAGATGGGCTGGGCTGGCCTCCTGCCCCACACCCGGTAGCGGCGGGACAGAGACAGCCGGAGGCACACACACAGGCGTGCAGGAAGAGGAGAAGCCGAGCTGCGGGCGGGGGGGACTTTCCATCAAAGCTCCGCATCTGTATGGGAGCCAGTCCAGTCTTGGCTTGGGAGAAGCGGCACCTGGGGCCCCTTCTTTCCCCTTCATCAAGGGCCCCGGGGGGCAGGGGAAGCCACAACTGTAGTGCACCAGGGGGCAAGTGGTGCCAGGAGAATGGGGGGGACGCGTATCAGGTGAAGGCTCAGAGGCCCCCGGGAAGCAGAGATGGACACGGTGGCCGGTGGAGGACCAGGCTAATGTGGCGGGGGGGGGGGCGGCCTGCCCCAAGCAGCTGCCCTGACTCGCTCTTCCTCCCCTCTTGGCAGGGACACAGCTGGAGAAGTTGATGGAGAGTATGCGGGGTGAGATTGCTGCCTGCCCCCCTGTGGAGGGGGCCTACACACCACATCGCGGGGACTTCTGCATTGCCAAATTTGTGGATGGAGAATGGTATGTGGAGAGACCCCTCTGTCCTCCCCCACCCATGGCAAGAAGCAAAACCTTTTGGCAACCACCCCCGCCTTTGTGCCCCACAAGCCCCGGGGCACCCCCTTCCTGGTCAGAAGCCTTGGATCCACTTGGGGGCTCAGTGGTCCGGGGGGGGCTGGCCTAGCGATGGGTGCTCTAGTCCCCTCTGGGGACAGATCCATGCTCCAGCCTGTCACCAGAGCGAGGGCCTGGGCTCGGCCGGGTCTGAGGAGAGTCTGGAAAGGTTGGGAAGGCCAGCGTCAGGGGAGGAGGGGGCGGCCTCAGGCTTTTTGAGGGGTGGGTCCATGGGTGGCCCAGGAGAGGGAGAAGCAACGCAGTGATTGGAGCCAGAGCGTTTCTGGAAGGGTGGCTCAGTTGGTGGCACTGGAAAGGGAGACCCTGGGCAGGAGACCAGGAGAGCCAGCGCAGCAGCCAGGACTCGTGGGCACAGAGGCTGGAGGGCCACCGGACAAGGGGAGCAGAAGCAGGCAGAGCTTGGTCTTGGATGCCCCGAGTTTGGCCGTGGCAGGGCATTGCCTGTGCCCACCCAGTGCCAGGCCCAGGGGGAGCTCTGGGGAGTCAGAGGCCCTTCCCTGCCTGCCTCCTCCTCTCTCTGCACCTGTGCTCGGGGCGGGAGTCCTGCATGGCCGGCAGGGGTGACAACGGGTGTTCCTTCTCCACCCCCCAGGTACCGGGCACGGGTGGAGAAAATTGAGTCCTCGGGCAAAGTGCACGTCTTCTACATCGACTATGGCAACGTGAGTGGGGTCTTGGAGGATGTCCGGGCGGGCCCCTCTTCTTCAGTGCCCCAAAGCCCCGGGCTGAAGCAGGCTCCAGCTGCCCCAAGCACAGGAAGTGGCTGTCTAGGGAGACCCTGTCTAGGGTCGGGGGCTGAGGAGATGCTGGAGGGTCTTGATAGGGCAGAAGGAAGCCGGGCAGTTCCTCGGGAGGCAGCAAAGCTTTCTGGAACGGGAATTTCTGCCCTCCAACTGCCCCTCGGGCTGGGCCAGGCCAGGGTGGGGAATGCCCTCCTGTTGGCTTGAGGGTAGTCAGGGCAAGGGGGCAAGGGAGGTGGAAGCCTCTTTGGCATCCAGATCCACTGGATGAGGTGGTGGCCCCCCTTGCCCCCCGATCTCAGATGGCCGTGCCAAGTGGCAGAGGAGCCCGTGCTAGAAATCTTCTAGCTCCGTGCCACACAAGCCCTCAGGGCATGTGCAGCAGAGGGAGGCCAGGCCCTGGGAAGGTCCTTTCCACTGATGGGCTGAGCATGTCTAGGGTCCCTTTGTTTCCCATGGGTCTGCCCCACGCTACTGTTCTGTCACTGGTTGTTTTCTGTCCTCAGAAGGAGCACGTGGCCCCTTGCAGCACCCCCCACTCCCCCGTAGCGCTCCTCGGCCCCTTCCCCATCAGCCCCCCCACTCTGACTTTTAAGCTTGGGTTGGGCTTTGCCGGGAGGGGCAGGCTGTGCCCTCGGCTGGAGCCGGGAGTCAGGGAGGCGGACGGGCTGCAGCCGCAACTAACCTCCTTCGGTCCTTCTCCTCCACTGCAGAAGGAGACCCTGCCTCCCACCCGCCTGGCCGCCCTGCCACAGGCATTTGGCACTCGTGTCCTGCCCGCCCAGGCCACCGAATACAAGTTTGCCTTCATCCAGGTGCCCCAGGATGTAAGTCCCGGGCAGGCTTATGGGGAAGGGGGTGTCCGGTAGGGAGCCCAGCCGTGGCAGTGAGCAGCAGGGAAGAGGTGGGGCTATTGATGGGGGGCAGCCAGACCCCCCTGTGCTTCTTAATCATCTTCATTTGATCTGTGCTTTTGACTGCTTCTGCATTTATGGTTAGGACGCTGTTACGTCGTGAGGCTGCACTGTGACATCAGATAGTTTTATGAGGGTTGTGGCTTGTTGTGTCTTATTTTTCTTTGGGGCTCTGGCGGTTCTTCGTTTGTTAACCGTGGGAAATCAGCCTGTCCGCCAGGAGTGTGTATTAAATAAATAAAGAGGGAGGGGGGTTCGCTCGGGCAGTGCCTGTTCTCGCTGAGAAGGCAGCTCGTTGGCAGAGCCCTCGGCCCCTTTTGGAAAGGCCTGGGCAGTCTTGACAGGGTGGCCCCCGCCTTGTTCCTGCTGACCTCGAACGGCCCCGGAGCTTCCTGGTGCTCTGGCCTAGCAGGGTCCTTCCTCTTCGCAGGAGGAGGCCCGGGCGGATGCGGTGGACAGCGCCGTGCGGGACATCCAGAACATGCAGTGCCTGCTGAACGTGGAGTACACAGGGCCCAGCTGCGCTCACGTCACGCTGCAGTTTGCCGACTCCAAGGCCGACGTGGGCCTGGGGCTGGTGAAGACAGGGCTGGTCATGGTGGAGCCACGGAAAGAGAAGCAGTTCCAGAAAGTGGTGAGCCCCCACGGGTGGCCCCTGGCCTGGGCCGGGAGGGGGGCTCTGGAGCCCTGGGACTGCGGGTGCAGCGGTGGGCTCTGATGCTCCTCTTCCTTGCAGATCACGGAATACCTGAATGCGCAGGAGGCTGCCAAGAGTGCCCGAGTAAGTGAGCCAGCAGGCCTCCCCCACCCCGCATCCCCTCAGGCCGCAGGAGGGAGCAGAAGGCAAGCTCTGAGCCCCCGGGCAGAGCAGGCAGCGGGCTTCCTCCCTGGGAGCTCACTCCACCCGTCTTCTGTCCTTCCAGCTGAACCTGTGGCGTTACGGAGACTTCCGTGCTGACGATGCTGATGAATTTGGCTACAGCCGCTGAGCGACCAGCCCACTGGCCTCCGCCACGCTCCCCCGTCTCCCCCGGACCACAGCCCCTCTCCTGCGTCTGGAGCCTGATGCCTGCAGGGGCGGGGGGAAGCGCTCTGACTTCCGGGGAGCAGACCCTGCAAAGCAGGGGAGAAGCTCTCAGGCTACCCTCGCCACCCCACCGCCACCAGAAGCTACGCCCAGCCTCCTTCCGGGCAAGCGGGAAAGATGATTTACGTTACGCTTCGGAAGCAAATAAAAGTAGTGAGAAGCTGGACCAGGCGGTGTCTTTTTGGCTGTGGAGGGGCGAGGGAGCACCGGGCTTGCAGGTTCCCTACACACACGCAGGTTTGCATGGTGGGGGGGTGGCCAGGTTGGGGCTTGAGGGGCTGGGTGTGCACGTCATGAGAACAGCATAGCCCGGTCTGCAGTGGGGAAAAGAGGCCTCGTGTTAATGACCTCAGGCTGCCTGGGGCTAAACAGCCCCACCCCGGCCAGCCCAGAGACAAAAACTAGGTCACTCTTGCAATTTTTTCTGCCCCATAAACATAGCAGCTGCACTCAACTCAGCAGGACCTGCTTTTAACCTTGGTTAGTTTAGCCTGGTGTATGAATTCATCCTGTTTAGCTACTCCATGGTTCAGAGTATTGTATGAGCCCCCAAAATGGGTAAATTCAGTAACCAGTTCATATCTGTTGTGGGAACCCAACTGGTTAGATTAGTTCATAAACCATGGTTTGGTTAACCACGGTTTGGCATGTCGCACGGACTCTTGCTTTTACCTCCCTCAACGGTCAGGCAATGGGCACGCTCAGGCCTAGCAGGACCGGTGAGCCGGGTGCGCTGGCTCTCCAGTCGGGGCCTGCGCCTCCGGCCGGCTTCTTCCTTCTGAGGGCAGCACCACCCCACAGGGGCACTTTGTCTTCACTGAGGAGAGGGAGCCGGGCGGCTCCTCCCAAGTGCCCAGATCTGTTTAGCCGAAGAAGGGATCTCCCCGAAACTGATTAAAGAAGCAATCAGGAATCCGGCAACGTTTGGATGTGGACGAGCTAAGAGGCCATCATGAGAGAGTCTCAGCAGCTGCTGAGCGTCAAAGATGAGCTCTGTTCATCATGAGAGACGTTCACGTGTTTTGCCTCTTCCCTCCCACCAATGCCACGTGAAAGGTTAGACGCGACTTTCTTCTGCGCAGGTGGACCGGTCCCCGCGATTCCTTGGTCAGCTCCCCACATGGGAACAAAGTTCTGTGCCTCCCTTGTGGGAAAGCTGATTCCCAGGCAGGCCAGCGGGCCCGGCCTCATCTGCTGCGCTGCGCCTTGGGTGCTGCTGAGCTGATTAGAAGCGACGCCAGCAAATGGAGCACACGGGGCCCTTTTTACGGCAGCATTGACCTAAAGCGGGGAGGATGCCCCGCAGAACGCTAGAACGGAGGTGACAGAGGCAATAGGGCTAACGTTTGTTTCTTTGGCTTTCCCCCCACAGTCCTGCATGAGTTGGAGGCAGCAAGTGTGGCAAGATCCCCAGAAGGGGCAGGGCTGTCGTCTGGGGCGAGGGGGTGCTTTCCTGTGTCTCTGCCTAACCAGTCCTCGACGTGGCAGAAAACTGCACTGCCAAGATTGCGGGTCGGGCTGGAGTTGGCTTTCTCCCACCTTCATTATTTGGGGAAAGAGGTGCACAGCCGGAAACCAGCCGTTTGCCATGACCTTCAGCAGCAGAGACTCCACGGGGGTGCAGGGCCCTAGGAGGTTGGTGGTTGTCCTGACCGCCGTGATTTAAGCCAGGGAGGGGGCTACTCAGCAAACACCTGTCTGAGTGGGAAGCTGAACCTGCCCCAGCCGCCACGGGGCACTTCCGGCAGAGAGAGAGGTCTTCCGCAACTCACAGACTTGGGGAGAAGTTCAGTGTCTGCTCTATGGGGCTTCTGCGAGCAGCAACGGTTCGAAAGCGTAGAAATGGTGCTGAGGCCATACTGGGAAGACAGGGAAGCCCCTTGCTCTAACCCAAGGCTGAGTACAGGCAGATCCAGCTGTTCAGCTGTTGTTCCTCGGGGGGGGCCTTGCTTTTAAGGAGCTGCCACGGGGCCCAGCTGT